CTCTATCCGATCAGCTTTTTGGGCTGATTGTTCAGTGCTTACACATTTATTGTGCAAGTCAATCACCTCATGAGGAGGTGAGGGATCTTCCCCAGCTTGGGTTAGATCGGTATGTCATGGAGTTCTAGGGGTATTGGGCCCTGCACTTACTCCACGTAAGTTTCTAAAACCTTCAGGGGCCAGCCCTGAGGTGGTTGCTATTACCAGATCATGTTGATCCTCGTCGTTGTCTGATGATGGCTGTTTATTTGAATCTCCCATGATGGGAGATTGCGGTTTCTTAATGAACTGCTCATTTCTTTTTAGCGTCGCTGCAGATGCGACCTTGCCCTTGCGGGCGTGTTTAGGTGCCATTGGCGCTACTGAGTCAGATGTTAAGATTGATGAGTTTTTGTGGGTTGTGTTGTAAAACACACCTCATACACTTAAAAAAGTGTGAGGTCTCAGGGTAGCTCAGCACACAGAGCTGCAAGTGATACAAGAGTGTGTATTTTATGGTAGTGTGTAAGCAGTTACCCGGAGGTTCCTGCTTACCCACATGACTATATGTATCTAATTACATGTGGCTCAGGGTTCAGGGCTATTTCCCTGACATGGTAGTAGACTGCCTGTCCAAGCGTATCCATGTGGTCCCCACCATGACAACTGTAGACTCAGAGGGTATCGCACGGCTCTTCCTAGAGCACATCTGGAGGCACTACAGGCTTTCTGAGGAGATCCTCAGTGGACTACCACCCTGTGGCCTTCATCTTCTCAGAGGTAGAAAGGAACTATGAGATCTATGACAAGGAGATGCTCACCATAATACAAGCACTCGAGGAATGGTGCCACTTCCTAGAAGGGGCCCCAGAGAAGTTTTCCATCTTCATGGACCACAAAAACCTCTTGTACTTCCGAACGGCCCAGAGGTTGAACTGGTGACAAGCATGCTGGTCCCTCTACCTCTCCCACTTCAACTTTGTGCTGACCCATCACCCAGGGAAGCTCATGGGGAAGCTGGACACTCTGTCGTGCAGAGCAGACCACCCCCAAGGAGAAGGGGACAATACAGGCGTAACCCTACTGTGCCTGGAGTGGTTTGGAGTCCGGGTGACTGAGGGGGTGTCGATGGAAGGAGAGGATTTGAGAAGGGAAGGAACATGATGAGGCAGTGGTGAAGGCCTTAAGAGAACTAGGAAAAGGTTCTCTGCGCCCAGATGAATGGGATAGAGATGGGGACTTGATCCTCTACTGGGGGTGAGTATACATCCCCAAGGACCCTCAGCTCCACCTTGACCTGGTGAAGTTGCACCATGACTCGGTCCCAGCAGGACACCCAGGCAGGTGGAAGACTTTAGAACTGATCTCCTGGAACTACTGGTGGCCAGGAATGTCACAATACATAGCTAGTTATGTCTCAGGCTGTGACACCTGCCAACAGGCAAAATCCTTCCCCTCCCGGAAGGTTGGGAAGCTCATCCCAAACAAAGTACCCTCCCACCGATGGCAGATAATCTCGGTGGACACCATAGGCTGGACCTTGATCTCCTCCTCCAGAACTCCACCTCCACCTCCCCCTGTTGGTTGTTGAGAGCCCACTCTACCTCTGGCTCCAACACAATGTCCAACCTACCTCCAGTCCAACTCCAGTTTACTCCAGGTCCGATTCCAACCTCATACCTTCCAGACCAGAGCTTGTGATGCTCTGCACTTCCAGCTCCAGACTCCTGTACAGAACCCCATCACACCTTGACCTCTGGAACTCCAGTCACATCTCCACCCCCGGACTTTGACCTCCTCCTCCATCTTATCTCCTTATATTCCTCATTACATTTCATTTATTATGTCTAGCCAATATTCCGGACTTTGACTTCTGACTCCGGACCTCCGGAACTTACTCCGGACCCTGCAGTCTCTACTGTATGGTGCCATTTAATCCTCTTGTTGCTTCCACCTTATTTAGATGGCTGCTTCCTTTCCATATTAGTCAGCTGTCATTCCCCACAACCCACTTGTCATATCCATCCACAGCCATCACCCTCCACTCCCTCCATTCCTTCCAGATCACCTCCGCTCCTTTGTCACTAACCTCAGAGCCTCCAGATTCCGCAACCACCTCCAACTCCCCTGATGATCACCACCCCCTCAATCCAATATATTACCTACACCTCCCTAAGTACAGAGCCCTGAAGGCCTCCAGACAGCTCCAATGTCTGCTAGCGCACTCCTGCCTCTGCTGGGCAATTTAGTTGCTTGCCCTGCAAGCTTACCTTTGGGCCAATCCCTCCTTTCTGTTTCTGGGTTATAGCCATCACTCTGCTAAACCCATAACCCGACTTGTTGGTAATATTCAGTCAGCTAACGTGTAACTCCGTTAGCTCCACTCTGCTCGGTCCCGTTGTTCATGGGCCTGCTGTCAGGGCACACCTGCCTGACCCAGGTCCACCTGGACCCACCCGGCCACACCTCACCCGCTGCCCCACTGCCCATCCCTCTCCTTCCTCCCTCCTTCCTCTTTCCTTCTTTCCTTTCTCTCTTTCTTTCTTTCTCCCCTTTTCTTTATTTCATTCTTCCCATCATTCTCCCCCTGTTTATTCCTTCTATCTACATGGACCACTTTCCTTTGTATCAATGTATGATTGACCCAGATGGCCACGGCTGTCTCTGAGGATGACATGGCACCCATCATGTGACTCAAGCCACATGTACATAAATGTACCTGAAGTGGGAACCAAGAAAGTAACCTTCTTCTCATCCTTTCCACATCAGGTAAGTAGCATAGTTTTCCCTTTTAATAATAATAACATCCTTCCACTTCAGTCTGAGTGGCCAGGGACTGCTGTCCCTTTCCAGACCTGCCAGTATGCATGCCTGGTTTACACCCCATGAGGGCCCCTCTGCCAGGCAATACATCCAGACCCCTCTACTCTGGATGCATCCCTGACACCTGCCCCCCATGTAACTATATATACATAACTTGTAGATAGGTTACACCCTAGTGATAAAATCAACTAGAGTTACCCCCCTTCTAGTTCTCGTTGCCAGTTAAGTAAATTAGGGCATGGATGTGTAACTAGGCACAGTGCTCCTGGTCTAAGTCGCTGAGGCCAAAGCCCTCTGCCATGGGGATGTCTCCCTTGTCCTGCATCCGGTCTCCGACACCACACCACTCCTTCCCCTCTTGGCCTTGCCCATTTGGGAAGCACCATAGAGTTCCGACCCTTGACCCTTGGGGTTGTTCCCTCATCCAGTCCCCCTTTGTCTCCTTCCAGTTCCCTTTGTTCCCTTTGGGTTCTCTGACTCCACTCCTGTATTATTATATATACACTCTGTTCATAGTTTCCTGTACCCCTAGTCTGAAATCGACAACTAGAACCAGAATCGACTGGATTGGGCCCCCAAGAGGCTCCCCCTTGCTAACCTGAAATTAAGGACCACCTTAGACAACAAGCAGCAGCACAGCGCTCCACTTGAGTTGCTGAGGCCAAGGTCCCTCCTTACTGAGTCCCTCCTCCACTTCCAGACAACTATGCACTCTTATAACAGTCTGGCTCAGCTCCCAAAACTACACAACCAACTGACCAACTAAGAAGCTGGACCACAAATGGATTGGCCCCTTCTGAATCACCAAGGTGGTGTCCCCAGCAGCTGTGAAGCTGCAGTTCCCCACCCAGCTGAAGGGCATCCACCCTGTAGTCTCGGTCACCAACATCCACCCCTACCTCCCAGATGAGATCACCAAGTGCACAGCAGACCCCTGCCCTGGCCCTGAAGTTATTGATGGAGAAGAAGAATACAAAGTAGAGAAGATCCTAAACTCCAAGTACAGATATGGAAAACTCTGGTATTTTGTTAAATTCTCTGGCTGGCCAAACTCGGAAAATGAATGGCTCCCCCACAAAAACTTAGAGCACTCTCCAGCTAAAATAAAAATTGTTTAGAGGAATTTTTGAGAAAGTCAAAAATGGCTGTGTTGCAGTCAAGGAAATGTGTATAATTTGCCCATATCTTCAATTGTAGGAAGTTACACACAAATTCCTCTGAACCTTTTGTAGAAATCTACTATCTGCACCATATCCCTGATTTATATGCTCTCAGGAGGATACTGGAGAGAGAAAGTACAAATGGGGATTTTTGTTATGGTTTACTTGTACTTGTGCACTGCATCAGGGCAAACACAACCCAGCTGGTACCCTTCACTGCATTTAAGCCAAAAATTTCCACTGTGGAAATGGCAGGGATAACCGGATTTCCATGCAATTTCCCACAGCAGATATTGGTTCTGTCCACTGGCGGATTGAGCATCACTTTACCATGGTTGGGGCTGGGAAATGATGGGGATTTGGTGGTGGCTGATAATCTTGCATATTGATTCCCAATCAAATCCATATCTGGAAAGCACCATTTCCGACAGAGGAAACCATGACGGCATATACTGATCAATATCGCTCATTCATCTCTCAATGTACATACAGGATAATAAACGATAAAAGACAGATGTCCAGTTTGAGCTCTCTGTCTACCTCTATCCCTCCAATCGTTCTCCCTATAGCACTACCCAGAAGTTAGAGTGATGTACCAAGGCCCATCTGACGAATACCAGCATGACTCCCAACCCACTGACGATGACAATATGGGGACTAGCGATGGCAGCTTCACGTCATTTTGATCCCCTCCCATCCCCAGCACTAGTAATGCCAATGACTTTGGGTATTGGAGTACTGGAACCCAAGAGTACTATAGACAAACAGGTATGTCAAGATGTCCAGTAAGGTGTTAATATATTAATGAGAGTACTGACCTACCCAACGTGCTAGGCCCATCTCCCTTAAGGTCACTGCCTAATGACCAGAATACTGGAATGATGAGGAGTCCAGTGGTTGTGGGCCACAGCCCCCACTACTCTTGCTTGCTGGGTGAGGGTTTATTTCAAAGTAACAGAGTGCAGTAATTTAAATTGAGTGATTGGCTTACCAGGATCTGTCCACATGAACTCCAATCCATGACCTCCGAACTACGATATGGATGTCAGTCAGCACCTGAAGCTGCAGGCTAGTGTGGAGGTAAGTATGAGAGCAAACTTGACTGAAGCGATTCAGCCATTGGCTCTAGAGTTACAACCATTGAGGGATGAGATGAACTCCATCAAAGATGAAGTAATGGAGTTGAAGCGAAAGTTTGACGAGAAACCAGATGAGAGTCACTGCGATGGGAGTGTGGCAAAGAAAACCAAGCAAGGTGGGGATGCCGCAATTTGGCTGGAAAAGCTCCAGGTAAGTATTGACTATGTGCTAGTACTAGTGATACATGGGGCTGACAATGATGCTTTTAGGAGTTGATGCGGCAGACTTTTCACCACATACTGGGGATCACGTCAAAGACTCCTGGAATGACAATAGAAGGGGAACAGATCCCTGACCCCCTGAAGCCAGGGGAATCCCTGCTGAAGAGAGCCGATGGGACTCCTCTCTTCTGGCCAGATTGGCGAAAATATGCAAATCACAAACTGAACGAGCCTGCGATCAATGAGGCTCTCAGGCTCTGTTTGGACAGCCCAGTATGTGGGCCTCCATCCCAATGCAAAAGCTCAGGTGCAAGTCTGCTTCCCAGAAATTTAAACACCATATAGAAGAGAAGACCCTTGATGATCAAACAATCCGCAAGGGACTCATCCAGTACTTCAAGCACCTGCGACATGTCTGGACAATGCTGCAAAAGGCTGATGGTTGAAACCAGCTTGTGTCATCAAGAGAGAGGAAGAATCGCTGGGGCCATAAGAAATTGGTAAGCCCACCTCTTAAAAGTAGTCTGAGCCATGATCAAACCGTCCCTGTTACCAGAAAGCCACCAGGCGACATAATGCAATAACCAAGCTATTGGTCAAGTTGACTAATGTCACGGAGTCACAGATGAAGTCTCTTGTACTAACTGACTACATGTCAACAGACTGTGATGATAACACAGGAGCACTGGTGCACAGACAGAAGTGCTGGAGATCACCAATGGTAGGTGGTCAACAAGTTGGCCTGCACACGTCCACCGGGCTATTAAGACTTTGTAGGTCATCAGGTATTACTATGCATTGGACAAATGCTGCCAGGACAACATAGATGCCAAAGCTCCTGGCGAGAGGCCTGCACCTCAAAAATAAGCCTGCAAGTCATTCCTCTGAGGCAATGTCCCGCCAGCTCCCTAAGTTCGCAGTCTTCCATTCATTGGTATCCCAACGCCTCTCTGCAGAGCAGTTGGCTCATATGAAGATCATGGAGGACCCAGAATGGATAATGAATATCGTGATAACTGATGAGATGATAATAGGGGGGCTCACAGTTGAATAAATTCGCCTAAACTGGATCTCAAGTGAACCTAAAGTGACAAAAGTGCATCAAAACTAGATCTAAAGTCGCCACTTTAGGTCCTTCTCGACTTGGGGCTCAGGAGCCCCAATTCGCCTAAAGTCACCCATCTAAACTCGGCTTTAAAACTGAGTAAGTCCACATTAACACTAACTGTACAGTTTGCTACCTAGGTCACCTGTCCATTCCCTTCACCATGCTGCTGCTGCTGCTCGACATGGATATTGTTGTCACTGTTGTCATCAGTGTCCGAACTAGAACTCAAGAGTGGATCCTTAATTTTAGACATTGGCGTTGTTGATGGTGACATGCATGTATTCACAGAGCATGCTGGAGGGCTGCATGTTGTCATGGCAGATGTGACACAAGGACGAAGGGGGAGGGGGCAGCTTCAGCCAAAGCGTCAGAGGCACTAGTTTCACGTTCACTGTTTCCTTTGTTGAATGGATTGTACATTACACCTATATAAACAACATCATGCTCTAGCTCGACTTCATGCTCCCGTTCGCCCAAGTCTTCATCAAAAGAACCAGTTCAAAGGCTTGACTCAGTTGGGATGGCAATTGATTCTATGTAATGTGTTCAATGTAAATATGCTCTGAGGTTGTTCCTCCAACAGAGCACACCACATGTATGAGGAGCTGGCAGTCGGAAGTAGATGGCATTCGGATGTATAGTGATTGCAAGACACAGAATGGAACGGACTTATGAGATCCAGGCCTGAGCTACTTTGGACACACTTTAGAACCGCTCTAACTGTGAGCGCCCTTGAAGTGACCTAAACTCGACCTAAACTCGCTCTAAACTGAGGCCCCACTTGGGGTGGAATTTAGGTCAATTTTGAACCACTTCAGAACCCAGTTTAGCTCCACTTTAATCAACTGTGAGGCCCCCTAATGGCTGAGGATCTCACAGCACTCAAAAGGTTTGAAGCAGAATCTATAGCATATGAGGGTGACAACGAAGATGAAGGGGTGGATAATGAAGGCAAGGATAATGAGGCTGACAACACAAGGGATGCCTGTCATATCCCTCCACAGGCATCATCTTCCACTACCTCCAATCCTTCCAGACTACCTCCGCTCCTCTGCCACTAACCTCAGAGCCTCTGGTTTCCGTAATCACCTCCGACCCCCCTGATGGTCACCACCTCTCCAATTCAATATATTACCTATGCCTCCCTAAGTACAGAGCCCCGAAGCTCTCCAGACAGCTCCGACATCTGCTAGCGCATTCCCACCTCTGCTGGGCAATTCACTTGCTTGCCCTGCAAGTCTACCTTCGGGCCTATCCCTCCTTTCCGCTTGTGGGTTATAACCCGTCATTCCACTAAACCCGCAACCCGACTTGTCGGTAATATTCAGTTGGCTAACATCTATCCCCATTAGCTCTGCTCCGCTTGGTCCCACTATTCATGGGCCCACCCTCGCTGTAACTATATATACATAACTTGTAGATAGGTTACACCCTAGTGATAAAATTGACTAGAGTTGATCCCCCTTTTTAGTTCTCATTGCCAGTAAGTAAATTAGGGCACAGATGTGTAACTTGGCACAGCGCTCCTGGCCTGAGTTGCTGAGGCTGAAGCCCTCCACCATGAAGACAACTCCTTCGTCTCACTCCTGTCATATCCATCCCCGGCCATCGACTTCCGGTCCCTCCGATCCCTCCGTTCCAACTCCGCTCCTCCCTCGCTAACCTCGGAGCCCCCGTATTCCGCAATCCTCTCGGCGCCCCTCGATGGTCACCACCCCCTCATTTCAATTTATTACCTATGCCTCCCTAAGTACGGAGCCCCGAAGACTTCCGGACAGCTCCGACGTCTGCTAGCGCACCCCCGCCTCCGCTGGGCAATACACTCGCCTGCCCTGCAGAGCCCACCTTCGGGCCTATCCCTCCTTTCTGTTTCTGGGTTATCGCCTGCCTTTCTGCTAGCCCCGTGAACCGACTCGTCGGTAATATTCAGTCGGCTAATGTTTAAACCCCGTTAGCTCCGCTCCGTTCGGCTCCGCCAATTGCGGAACCGTCTCCACTGTAACCATATATATATCCCACTTGTACATAGGTTATGCCCCAGTAGAAAAATCAACTAGAGTTACCCCCCCTAGGTTCTAATTGCCAGTCAGTAAGTTAGGGCACGGACGTGTTGGCAGAAGTCGCTGAGGCCGAAGCCCTCCGTTATGGAGACATTCCTTCGTCTCGAATCTGGTCTCTGACAACTCCGGTCTCTAACAATGCCTGAGATCTAGCTAGCAAAGGTCCAACATGGTTGCACGATTGGAACAAAGTAAACATGTACCAACAATGCTAAACAAAATAACATAATATGTACAACCATGAGATAATAATATTTATTATTTTGGGTTAGGATGTTCATACATTTGGATACACAGAGAGTGTCCTAGATATTACAGCAAGGGGATTCTCTCAACATCAAAGTTAGATCCTGTCTCCATTCTGCCATGTTGTAAGAATCTCAGTGGGGGTCATTGAGAATGATGATCAACTACATATGGCATCAATAGTAAGAGTTACTGTTAGAATGTGTGGATTCGGATGACTCTGGAATGGAATCGGAGACTTAGCGTGGAAGGACCTTGGCCTCAGCGACTCAGGCAGAGTGCTGTGCCATTGCTGGTTGTCCTAGGGGTCCCTAATTTCGGATCTAGCAGAGGGAAAGTCTCTTGGGGGGAATTCAGGTTGATTTCGGACTGAGGTTACAAGTTACTAGGTACATTGTATATAAGGAGGGGTCTGGAATCAAAAGGAACAAGGGTAGGATGAAAGGAGACAAAGGGAGATGGAAAGAGGAACAACACCAAGGGTCAAGGGTTTGACTCAATGGTGTTTCCCAAAGGAGGAATGAAGGGCCAAGGCCCAAGGAGGAAGGAAGGAGGTTGGGAGTGGGGAATGGCTAGCTGAGTGAATAGAAAGGAAGCAGCAGCCCAAATAGGAATGAGGGAGAATAGCGGTATTGAATAGGACAATGCAATAGTTGCAAGGTCTGAGGTAAGTCCGGAAAGTCTGAACTCGGAAGTTAAACTCCGGAATATTGGCAAAGGTAATTAAATGGAATGAGCTAACCAATACAATGGGTATAAGCGGAGGTGGGGTCAAAGTCCGAGGTCGGAGCTAAGACCGGAGGTTCCGGAGGCGGGGACGCGAATGGGATTCCGGAGCGGAGGCCCGGAGTCAGGAGCATAGGTGTTGCGTACTTGCCTGGAAGGTGTCGAGGTTGGGGTCGGACCCGGAATGTTCTGGAGTCGGACCGAAGGTGGTGTCAGAGCCGGAGGTGGGATAACCTCTTGGGAGTCGGCAAGGAGGAGGTGACGGAAGGGAAGTAGGACCCCAGAAGTCAGGTTCGGAGTTCTGGGAGCCCGGAGCGGAGGTCGGGATTGTATGGATATGACAGTTACCCATACCCATGTGCCTTGAACTGCCATTGTGAGCCTTGCAAGATGACTCTGAATGGAATCCAGAGCAATGATGGAAACACTTCCATTATTCCACCATTTGTCGGCTTCCCAAACCCGGATGTGAGAGTCTTGGGCACTGTCCAGAAGCATGTACTGCACATCAGTGTATCGACCATAAGTATGGCAATGCTCTTACAAAGGGGCCCACACTGTGTCATGTTTTGGCATGTAAGGGTGAAACCATTTGACCATGCCAAATGCCATTTGCATTGCTCCCATACCGAGATTCTCGTTGAATGAGAGGATATGTGTGTCAGAGACCAGATCGAGACAAAGGAATGTCTCCGTGGCAGAGGGCTTCAGCCTCAGCGACTTATCCCAGGAGCCCTGTGCCAAGTTACACGTCCATGCCCTAACTTACTGACTGGCAACGAGAACTAAAGGGGGTCAACTCTAGTCGATTTTATTACTGAGGTGCAACCTATGTACAAGTTGAGTATATATAGTTACAATGAGGGTGGGCCTGTAAATGGCGGGGCCAAGTGGAGCGGAGCTAACGGAGTTAAACATTAGCCAATTGAATATTACTGACAAGTTGGGTTATGGGGTTAACGGAATGGTAGGCAATAACCCAGAAATGGAAAGGAGGGATAGGCCCAAAGGTGGGCTTGCAGGGCAAGCGAGTGAATTGCCCAGTGGAGGCAGGAGTGCGCTAGCGGACATCGGAGCTGTCCGGAAGCATTTGGGGCTCCATACTTAGGGAGGCATAGGTAATATATTGAAAAGAGGGGGTGGTGACCATCGAGGGAAGCAGAGGTGATTGCAGAATATGGGAGCTCCAAGGTTAGTGAAGAGGGAGCAGAGGTAGTCTGGAGAGTTTGGAGGTAGTGGAAGTCAATGGCCATGTATGGATATGACAATGTGTGAGTTCACCACAACATTGTGTCCCACATACATC